ATGGCGTTGCTGAATAAATATTTACAAAGGAACAGAGCAGCCACAACACTCAGAAGTTTTCATAATATAAGGTACAAGGTACAAATAAGTATTAGCACTTTAAAAATGTGAAAACAGCTGTGGATCCTAACATTGTTCATCATTTGCTACTGCATCAGGTAGATTTCTTGTACAGTCATGCGGCAAGTATTTCTCTACTCTGGTTGTAATACGCTAGGGTTTTTTTTTCAACACCATCAGAATTTATTTTTTCAGTAGACAAAGGGAATACAGTTAGCAAACAGTTAAAGTCATGTTTATAATAAAGACTTTAAATGTATACAAAATAATGTAGGAAACTATTATTATTGTGAAATATGTGATGTACGCAAGCACAAGTCTGTAAGTAATCATGCAACTTGTTAACAACTTCTGCATGCTCAAATAGCTCCTAAATACAAGATCTATCTAGAAGATATCTATCTATTCTTTATAGAATATCATATGAGTATAAAAGCAAGATATGGATTTGAAAGTGCTGGAGGAATATTACTGTAACTTGGTATAGATACAACGAAGAGTGACATTTTTCTTGTTTTAGTTACATTATTCTCAGAGCATTTCAGGCAGTCTTGGGAAGGGTGACAAAACTGCAGAGACTGTTCATACAGTGTGGCCTAACTTGAGGTATTCATGCATACCCTTAAGAGAGTGTAAAAAGTCAGATCCTTATCCTTCTTGCAGTTCTGCTTCTCAGAGATTTTTAGTGTAAAGGCAAAACTGAACCCTCTGCTGTCAAGGTGAAGGCCACCTGGGTCCTCCTTCTGTCACCTGTCACTTCTATTGAACAAGACAAGTGCTCGGTCCAGGCATTCCAGCAGGATGAGGTGGGAGATGAAAAAACTCGCCAAGAAAAGCCAGCTCGCGGTGGAAAGTACCTCCCTGGTGAGGGGGGACAGAAAGGGGAAAACAAACCTCAGAATTTCTAATCTTTAATGTGTGTGGTTGAAGAACATTTTGCAAAGTTCAATAAAGAAGACAAGAATGCAAATTACTCTGTGCTGTTCAGAGAGACAACCCAGCAGGATTTCCAGAGCAGGAAGCATAAATGTGTTTCCTCTTTCTTTTTCATTTCAGACCTAGAATAAATAAAACCTACAGCTGAGGGAAAAATGTTACTTCTTCACAATGCAGACAGACAACACAGTTTACAAGGCAAAGACCACTTTTTGTACTGTTACAGTGCTTAGCACATCGCTTCTCAGTTTGTGGTACAGCAAATACCTCCTCATCCTAAAAATTCACCCAAATGCTGGAGCATTGAAATGAAACTGAAACCAGCTGCACTGCATAGTGCCGCAGGGTCACCTAACCCAATGCCTGGTATCAAACAGCGTTCTGTGGCGTATGCCAGAGGGTTGTAGGACTGTCACAGGCACCCAGGAACACTTCCCTGGTTGCAAACTCTCTTAATTTCTAGTGATTGGTCTTTAGTGAGTTTTTGATCCGGATGTGTTACTTCTGCATTTTATGCCTCTGTGGGCTTTGCTTCCGTTAATGTCTCAGTCACTTTTTACACCCACGTAAGCTATATGGCCAGTTTTACAATTTAGGCATGCCACGTGGGAAAAAATGCTGCTCTTTTTTCATTTTGGACTGGCTACCTCCCTGCTACTTCTTCTGTCAAAAGACACACCTTTTCCACAGCACCCCTGAATTTACAGATCCCTGTTACACCCTTACTGAGCTGCCTCTTTCCCAGCCAGAAGAGTCCCAGACAATTCAGCTGCTTCCCAGATATGTTGTCATTACACAGCTTTGACTACTTTGATCCTCCTATTTGAGCCTTTCCTAGTTTTGCTACATTTTGCAGCAGAGCGGACCAGAATTTTACACAATGTTAAGACCTAACTGTATCATTGATTTACACAGTGTAAAACTGTTCTGTTTTGTTCTTTATCTCCTACTGAGTCATTCTTAGCACTTGTCTGACCCACTGCTGAGCAATGAGCTAATGTTTCCATAGAATTACCTAGATAACTCCAAAATCACTTTCTTACGTTTCTACTTCAGAGGCCCCAGCTGCAGGTAAATCGAGAATTATTTTATATTTACATTATTTCAGAAAATATTGAATTACATCTTCCATTTTATCAGACACTTGATATCATGAGATTGTTCGGCTACTTTTAAGACTTTGCATTTTTGTTATTTTTGAGAACCTGACGTAAGTGCAAACATTGCTGGGAAAGTAGCACGGCAGGCGGTAGGCAATCTAGGAGACTCCTGGAGTGCATAGACGACAATTTCCTAAGCCAGGTAATAGATACGCCTACCAGAGGGGACGCAGTACTGGATCTGGTGGTCACCAATGTAAGTGAGCTCATTGGTGATGCGTCCAGCTCTGGAGTCCTCAGTACAAGGACATGGACCTGTTGGAGCGGGTCCAGAGGAGGGCCACAAAAACGATCAGAGGGATGGAGTACCTCTCTTCTGAGGAAAGGCTGAAAGAGCTGAGGCTGTTCAGCCTGGAGAAGAGAAGGCTGTGGGGAGACCTTATTGCAGCCTTTCAGTACTTAAAGGGGGCTTATAAGAAATATGGGGACAGACTTTTTAGCAGGGCCAGTAGCAGTAAGACAAGGGGTAATGGTTTTAAACTAAAAGAGGGTAGATTCAGACTGGATATAAGGAAGAAATGTTTTACAATGAGGGTAGTGAAACACTGGAACAGGTTGCCCAGAGAGGTGGTAGATGCCCCATCCTTGGAAACATTCAAGGCCAGGCTGGATGGGGCTCTGAGCAACCTGATCTAGTTGTAGATGTCCCTGCCAACTGCAGCGGGGATGGACTAGATGACCTTTAAAGGTCCCTTCCATCCCAAAGCATTCTATGATTCTATTTACCCCTCTTTAACTGATCTGCTGAGGAGCAGAGTCCTACTGGACTCCTTCAGCAGCCTCTCCGTGTTGGGAATATTGGTAATTTATTCCTTTACTCTTCATTATCCTATTTTGCAAACAGCCATGTAACATTAAGGGACCTCCACTCTTCAAACAGCACATAACTGTTTTAAAGAAACTTTAATGAGAGGCCCTGTCGAAATGCCTTTCTGTAGACTGCATCAACCTGACCTTGTCTACTCAGTGAGGCTTCCAAGAACTCTGCTGACCAGGAGGCAAGGACTCTGCCAATATGTAACTACTCACACTACTCGCTGCTTTGACACTGTCATCACCTGCTGAGCCTTAAGCTTCTCTTGCAGGCTTCCTGTTTAGAAGAAAAACAAAACAAAACAAAAGCATGTACAGGTTTTATTGCTCTACATCTTTGACTTACCTATCGCATTTTTCACATTTGTCCATTTCTATTGTCTTAACTTAGACACAAAATACTAGTGCACTAATGAGGACAAAGGGAAGTTTTTCCCTCTTGTGAGTTCTCTAACTAGCTCCTCCATGAAAAAATAATTTATATTGTCCAATGAAACAACGAACCAGTGCTCACACTAAAAAATGAAATTTTTATTTGGATTTGCAGTCTCTGCACCATCTTGGGTATGATTTCCACCGGAGTGAGGGATTTTGCTATATATGGTCTTAATTCTCAAAGGACTTACTTCTTCGCCCTAGAGACGTAGACATTCCGCCCAAGGGGAGCCTCGATTATCTGTTGCTTATTTAACTTCAATTCATAGCATGGCACCAGTTTCCAACAGAACAAATAGTTTGTTATCTCTATGGTCTCAATAGCCTCACTTAAAACCAGATATTCTAGTCCTCAAGTGTTTTTTTAGACTGCAATTTCCACAGAAACACACAGACAGCGCATTCAGTTCCCAGTTTTAATGGAACCTTAGTTACACTGCTCTTTGCTGCTTATTTTCACCAATTTCTATTCTATTACCAAAGTCCATTTATCATCCATAATCACATTTTCCTTCTTACACATCTACTTTTACCCAGTTTATGAATTTAAAATGTCTACTTTTTTCATTTTTAAATGAATAGTGACAGAAGCCTGGTTTCGTTTTCATTCAAATAAAGCCTGCATTTTCAGCTCATACTCCTATTACTAATGAACCTAACTCTATTTCCTTGACACTATTTATAGCGAAACACTGCTTCTCTCCCTCTCTCCTCCTCCTCTGCGTGGGTTTGGAAAGCTACCATGGTCATGATCTTCCAGCCTGACAGCCCAAAGAGCAACCCAGTGCTAAAGTAAAATCTTCATTTCAAAGGGAAAGTGTGGGTTATTTTGTAGTGGAAGGAAGAAGGGAGTAATAATCTTAGGTTTGTTTGGTGCTGCTGCATGAAAGAGCTATATAGAGACAACAAAAAGAAATTGTCAGTGAAAGGAAATCCAGAAACTATGTCCAAAACAAGCAAGTGGGGAAAAAATATAGAAAATCTTTCCATTATATTCATGGTCAAGGGTCTAACCGAAAGATCAGTTTTCTGGTCCTGTGCTACATTTACAACTCACGGATCCAACCACTTATGGGCCTGCATTTAGGCTTCCTAACATGATCCTCCCCATTACCCTCGGGATTCTGCCGCAGGATGAACTATTTCTCCCTTTCTTCTTTTCCTGAAGCGTGTGTTGGTTTTTACATGAAAACCACTGCCCAGGAATGAAAATGGCAGCTGCAAGACACACTTACCATGGTGTTCTTTTCCCCTCCCTATTTCCACCCATGCCATGAAATAGGAAGGCAATCCTGCCTGTGGATACCTCTTGGCATCACAGGGATTTTTTTTTTTTTTAACCACATGGAAAACAGAACTTTTGTGCCCATTTGAGCAGGTGTCACTGATCGTCTGGAGGCAGAGACATCAAGGAAAATGATACTTCAGCATTTGCCTATGTATGTATTAGTTGTCCACCTACCAGAGAGGTGTCCTCCTGTACAACGATCCTTCGCATGGGTCATGTGAAGCAATCTCTTATGCAAACTTAGCTACAGTCTTCTGAGACCGTGTCAGGGACAAATCTTTTTTTGACAAATGTACAGAAAACATTAATTTGGGGAGTTGAGGTTGTTTTATTTTAACACCTAATACAATTCAAATTTAAAGGATTACTTGCACAAAAAAATAAACACATTTGGTATAAAAATTTATCATCACTTTAACACCTTTTTTTCCTCTTATGGCCTGCACCTTCTCTGGAGCAGAAACATATAAAGACTAATGGCACAAGTTTGTTTTATTCTACAGCATTTTTTTTGTTTTTACATACTCAAGTACCCTAGAGGACAACAGCCCGCTGTATACAAGAACCATTTTCTTCAGCCTGCTGAATTAAGTTTCATAAAGAACCAAAGCTATAAAGGCATTTTAAAAACCATTGTCTCTTTGTTTTTTTTTCAGAAGCACTGACTTTTTGCACCATTTATATACATAGTGTTACATAACAGCTTTTGAGTACAGTACATGCAGCAGAATATATCTGTTGAATATAAAACATACATTTAAAATCTCGCCTTGTTGGAATTTTTTGAAGATTGAATAATTGTAGAATGCCCACTGCTTAGAGAAAATGGTTTGATAGTAGAAATGTCTGCATATGTTGGCCACTGGAACAATCCAAGGCTCACTGGAATAGTATCTGCAGCACATCAATGTGCATAAATAATTTACTTACAATATTAAAACACAACTAGCAAAATCAATAGTTCAAGATCTTATGACTGCTATGTTAACCTTTAAGTGGTTGCAAGTGTGGTGGGGGTTCCTCCCCCTCCCAAGTCCTCTATAAAACCTTTAGTATGTAATTTGTTTTCCAGATGAAGAAACTTATTTATGTCTACTGCCTCTTCTCTTCATTGCAGCCGTGCACTGCGGACAGTACCATTTCCCTTTCGGTGCTTCTGTCAGTCCAACACATCCATAGTGGAACCACTCAATAGGGCACTACAAAAACAGATTTAGAGAGAGGGGTTTGCGGTTTTTTTGAAACACCTATCACAAATACAATTCTATGAAAATAAAGCATGAGTAAAAAGCATAGATTCTGCTTTCCACACAAAGTCACCAGACAAAACGAGAAGAAAGGAGGATTTCAGTCCCTAACATAACACTCAACAAACTAAGGAAAGTAATAAAAATTCTAGGAGTCATATATGGACTCATGTAACAGAGCACAAGAAGTATGTTGTGCTTCAAAATACTTTGTCTGACATTAAGTGACACAAAAGTAACCTTATCACTCACTCCTGTTTAAATGTAGTATCTCAGTCAGTACATGATTACGTTCAACTGTTCTTTTAAAGGTTTTTTTATTTGAAGGGGACAACTGGTATTAGTAGTGACATAGCTCAAAGTTCCCAGAAATAAAGGGCATTTAAATGATGTCAAACCTTCCCAGTAAAGGGTGAAGCCTTCTAAAAGAACCTCAACTTTGGGGACAGATGAAGAGAAGTTTCCTGAAGAATGTTTCAACTCATATTCACATTACTCTCAGAAACTCTAACACCAACTCTAAAGAAAAGTAACTCCTGCAAGTAATAGTTACATGCACAAGCGTCTCATGAACCTTTTCAACTGTGTTACTTACATCTTGGTTATCACAGCCTACCATTTCACCATAGGACACCTAGTAAATAAGAAAAAAAGCCCATTATTAATAATTATATTACTAATTAAAAGCAATCAACATTTTCAAAGGGCTAAAGATCAAGTTTCTTCCTCTGCGGAGTTTTTCCACTAACAGCAGCAGTAATATTTTGATTTTTCTTTTGTTACACAACCCAAAGAACATGTTCACAGCACACTGATTTTCAAAAATTTTTATGCAAAAAAAAAAAAGATACTTCTGCATATTTCAGGCTGGATGAAAAAGGTCAGCATTCAAAACCTGCATGAAGCACATTTTGGTCTAAACAACAGTGCTCAGTACATCATCAGCCCAATTTTCAAGATTACATTCACGTCTGGCATTTCCCTTGCATACATGACAATTTCAATCACTTTATTTGAAACAATCAAATACTTTCAAGAGAATTAGAGAATTCTATAAACTCTAAAAAAGCGAACACTCTTAAAAATTTTTAAAATAAGAACAAGTATTTTTAAATAAAAGTTTCTCATGTTGTCATTCAGTCTCTCAAGTTTCCCAACAGCTTTTACAAAACTAGTTTTTTGTTTGCTTCTTGTTTTTCTCCAGTTTGTGGGGGTTTTGGGGTTTTGGTTTTGTGGGGTTTTTTTGTTTCTTTAAAGGAAAATAGGAGAGACCAGGCAAATTCCTTACTAACTTAAAATTTTAACTAAATTCACTGTGAACGTGCTCAATCTTTAATTTAATTATTCCTGAAGTCTTCATTAAAAGATTTAAAACTCTCCAGGTATGTCACATCATTGGAAAACTTGCTTGTTTTTAATGTCAACGGTTGAGTTCATTATTCATATCACCAGTAAGTAAATAAAAACAGATATGAATTTCAAGACTGCAAACAGAATGTTTTTAAATTAGCAATCAGAGAAGGAAGTTCAACTGCAGCAAAACAGCAGCTCTAGTTACATTTCAGGTTGGAAGCCATCCTTACCTGATTACAAATGCAGTAACGTGGCTCATTTGGATCATAGGTCCAGTCAACCTGGCTATTAGAATCAGACTCTGGTATTACTGCTGTTTGCTGGGACAGTTCTTGTGCCAGTGCAGATGAAGAAGAACACGATGATAGAGATGAAGAAGAGGAAGATGATGAGGACTGCTGGCTTGAGGATTTGTTGTTGTTTCTAAAAGAAAAAAAAAAAGAAACACAAAAAAGGCATATCGTAATTTAAATTAATTTCCTGCCAAGTGAAAGGATCACAACACAAGTACTTTGTTCACTCTGAAATACTGCAATACGTAAATCCCAAAGCATTGTTCCCTAATGAATTTCATTCAACAATTGCAAGAACTGAAATGGAAACACTAAATGCTTTTTGGAAAAGGAAACAAGTCTTACCAGCTTACACGTTCAAGACAGGCTATTCTAATCAATGTAATTTAACAGCTTTAAACTGCCGAATGGCTTTAATCAACACTTTTTTTTCACAAAATTTTCCATCAACAGCCTTGGTGTAAAGTCCCCATAAAAATTATTTTACCAATAGAACAGGAATTTACATATAAATAATGTCATATGTCATGTAGAACAGATAGTTGTGTTTTGAACATGGCTGATTCTATGTTAAATCTCCACTCAAGCATCACCAATCACTCCACAGGAACAGTGCCAGAATACAAATTCTATGCTTTTGCTTATAGGTCAGATCTGACACCCAGGATATCCATAGATGAAGAATGCTTCTAAGACAAAATTATTAACTGAGCTGTGAACAAACACAAATTTGTATGAAGAAAAACAGGTAAGTCAATTTAAAAGGATGCGCATTCTGAGACAAACTCTTTCAAGTACAACTTGTAATTGCTGTCACAATGTGTCGTGACACTGTGTTGTTTAAAATGCTTTTAAATTTCATTTTAATCAGAAATAAAATTCATTCCATTTTCTGTCCTAGAAGGTCAGCCATAAGAAAGCGTTGTGATTATTTGTGAAGCAGCATGAAGCAGATCTCCAGATTATTTCAAAACCGTCTACAAAAGCATAGTAATTCCCAACACTTGCCAGTAGGCCAAATCTTCTCTCCAGAACACAGACAAATAAGGGAAGAAACAAGACTACATCATAGATGAAAAAGCAAATCAAGACATTTGCTTAAAACCTTGGGGTGAGTTTGCTTAAAGAAAAAAAAAGTGAGAGGGCAAAAGAAGAAAGCCCTGAACAAAAAAAGGCCAGCAGGCAATAACTACCTTCTACTGACCCCCCTCCCCGATATTAAATATGAAGTATTCCTAATAGGGCCCGTGACCTTTAAAAGAAAGCTTAGCTGTCTTAAAAGCTATAATTGCATTCAACAATTAAGAAAACCTACTTGCTTTTTCTGCCACTTCGTGAATCTGTGGTTGATGAACTTAATGTCTGCGTTAATGTAGATGCCAGAGCTGATGATGAATATCCAGTTGAATCTCTGGATAACGAAAATTCCCTTCCAAGCTGAAAATCATTGTTCTTAAATGCTTCATAGCTGGCTTTTAGACTGGATGTTCGTCTTCCTTCCTTCATCTAAAAGGAATACTGATACTGTATCAGATTACACAGTAGAGCTCTTACAGAAGACATCCTAGGCTGCTAACTGCTAATTATTTGCACAGGTTCATTAGTTACCCTGTGAACAAAATGATGTATAGTAAGTGGTAAAAAGGTGTAAGAATATCCCACAGGAAAAGCTAGAAAACAAGCTGTCCCTTTATGCAAGTTTTACAGGATGAAACTGTAGCATATAAACAATAATCGTAATATGAGAACTGAATCACATCAGCTGAAAGAGATCATGGGAATCCAGATTAAAAAAAAAAAAAAATCACCAGTCTTTCTTCTCAATCAATAGCGGATGGCAGAATGACAAGAATGTTTTGACATTACCTGTGCCGTGGCTTGCACTGCTTGAGCTGCTGCCATGGTAATTGCACCGGCCCCGGATCCTGAAGATAATGAGCCCAGGTTATATGATGCCAATGGTTGAGAAGAGTTTGTATTGTATGCATTGTTTGAAGAGGATGATGAATTACTGTTTCGACACCCTTGATGAACAGAACACATTTATGAAATTCAAAATGAAACTAAATTCCTTTGCATTTTAAGAAGAGTTATATATGACAACCAGTGAAAGAGTAGGAACTCTGTTTATGCATCAGAGCAGTCTGATAATTTGGAAAAAAGTTCAAAAAGTCATTTGACACAGCCAGTATCGGCTTAAGAAAAAAAAAGAAGTTTGTTCCCCACCTATCCTCATGTGCAAGGAGTCCTTTCAGAAAGACAGTCCTCACTATCATATTCAGCTATCAGAGAACAGATGCAGCTGCTACGTCTATGTCTATATAAACCCAATCTCTGTTGAAATGATGCTGACTACTGTAACCATCAAGAAGAGAGTAAGAATTTGACTGTACACCTATACTATTTCTGAAGTAAAACTTAACAATCTTAATTCTAAAAACTACAAATCAGTTTTAATGCAACACAGATTTCCATGGCCATCTACAGACTGACAGCTGCTCAAACACAGTTACATTTTATTTGCCATCTCATGTGAATTTCCTTCAAAAGAAAAGTAAAATGGATATGAGGGAGAATACTTAAAACTGATGAACAGTGCTAAATTCCAAAATGTGAGGTAGTTTACTTACTGTAACCTCTCACAATCTTTTATTTTCAGAAAAGAAACTATGAAACACCCTAATTTTGAAAATGGGCAGAAAGTTGTGGGTTTTTTTTTTATTCACTACTCAAAAAGACTTCTCACCTCTTTTGAAAGAGACGACACATGAAAGAATTTTATTTTATTGTAGCTGAATGCCACGTCAGACCACCCCTTAAAAAAAAAAAAGTGTAAAAATTCTTTTCCCTTACTTTGGAAATTCTTGCATGTGTTTCTTTTTCCCAAAATAATAATGTATTGATCTCTTATATTTCTACTACTGGCTGAATGAAACTGTACTGTTATCTTTTTCCAAGCAGTGTAAATAAAAACAAACAGCCAACATGCAGCTCTTAAATGACAGCAAAGCTGATGCGCTTCATGGACAACACAGATGAGTAACAATACCTGCTATTTCTCATGTTTCAAATGACTGAAAATCCCAGAGGAAAGGGTATGAGCCTCTGATTTCCAAAGACAATAACTCATAAATATAATTGCGTTTCTCTTCTTCCAATTAAAAAGCAATAAAATGCAAGACAATTAAGATTACCTGGTGTATTTTCTTTAGAAGCATCTGAAGTCAGGGTAGATAGAAGAGCTTCAGATTTAAACTTCTTTTCAGGAACATGATCTGTTGTACTATGGTGAGAAGATGGATTGTGTTTCCTTTCTAAATGAAATAAATGAAGGGAAATCAAATGCAAAACCTTTTCAGCTTGAAAGTCAAACTATAACTAGAGATAATAAAACAGCACTTTCAACTAATTCCCACCAGCAAAACCTTATTATTTCATTCTCGCACTTCTTCTAAATAGGCATTATTATCATTGCATTATGCCTTCCCTGCCCCACAAATGTTTGGAGAAAAAGAAAAAAAAGTTTTGAGCTTTTTTTTTTTTCCTAATACTACTCAACAAAAAATAAGGAAACATAAAAAGTGGACATGTTTTTAAGTCTCAAATACTCACTCTCTACTGGTGTATGAGAATGGGCGTGATGGTTATTCACAGGCTGTGATGGTGTATCCAGCTCCAGAGACCCTAGGAGGGAAGTAAAAAGGATAGGAAAACTTCAGAGTCATCATTGGTGTGGTTTTGACTTTTAGATACTAGATGAATCTTTACAATATTAACAAATCACTATGCAGTTGTATTTATTTTAAGCAGAAGGATTTTTGCTGGAGTTGAAACCCTTCCTGTAGTACAACCAGAAGCCAGTGAGAAGAACAGTTTTAAAATAAAAATTGGTGACTCCTGCTGTTCAACTGTTGAAATCAAGAAGTTAAAACCAAGGCCAATAAGGAGAACAAACAACATTGCCCTCAACATGCCACTTATTCATATGAGTTGCACACAAGGCGGTGACGGTTGGAGAATGCTGCACCAAAAGTACTGACAATCTACCAATACGAACTGAAAAGAAGATTGTAACAGGTAAACTGTGTTAATGAGGCATCTTGTCCCACTGAGTCCATCTTGTCACGCTGAGTCAAAACACACAAGCACTAGTGACATCTTTCAAGATGATCTAACATTCAACAGGAAGGGCTTCAGATCATCATCCAAATTTTCTTAACGTTCAAAATACACAGAGCAACAATCCAAAGAAGAAAAAAAAAAAAGAAAAAAGAAAAAAGGTGGCACAAATGCAAGTCTATGTCTAAGAATAACATTTCTTGTAATATGAGGCTAAAAGATCGCAGCATAGGAGAGACTTTGCCCATAGATTTCCATTAGAACAATATACAACAGTTTGTGTATCAATCTTTGGCAAAACCATTTTGAACTAGCTGCAATACCTACCAACTTACATTTATACAGAAGACAATTCAAGAAAGTAATTCACATTCATTTTTCAAAATCTGTAGCTTCAACGTTTCTTTACCTCCTTCTTTTTCAGTGCTTTCAAACAGTACATGAAGGTATTAAAAAAAGTTTAAAGAAGATTATTCTAGAAGAGGTTCAAAGCATAGGGAGATATTTTTGGCTGAGCTAACATTAATCATGTTATGAACTAGTCCAAAGGCTGCCCTCTGGCGGAACCTCCACAATATGTATTTACTCTGAAAGCTAAAAATGTTAAGAGGCTTCTACTTTTCACTTTATTAAAAAAAAAAAAACCCAACCTTACAGGTGCAACATGCAGCCTGGTACATTTCTATTTTGAGTTCTTCAAATTCTACCTACCTACCTCACCAAAGGTAGCTCAACTGAAGGTATTATTACATCTTAAAACTGCAGCTGGGATTCCAACTAAACTAAGCTAGTCCTTTTCTGTAGTTGCTAGTTCATTAAAAGCACTTACTTTTGCAATTACAAATAAAATATCCAAAAGCTCCCAGCTTTTATGACAAAGCCACATAAAGTTCAAAGAAAGAATATTTGTTCCTAATGTCCTCAAGTCATTTAGGTCACTTTTCACTGTCCTTGGGTATGAAGAACAGTCACTACCTCTTAGCTCCATAATCACAGCAGTTAAACCAACTTTTTGAACTTGATGTCTAAATGCTGATGGGTACAGAAAGGCCAGATTCTTCTATACCAAGTTGGCCAAAAAGCTGTCACAAAACATTTTTCTTCACATTCTGAATAGTAGCATTGCTATATTTGTTAAGCATGCAGGTTTCTTACCCAAAATGCTTCTCCCTCCCTACTCCGTTACAAAACAACCATTCTCTCCCCTTTAAAAAAAGAAACCCACCAAGTACCTAACTTTACTTGACATTCCACACCTATAACTAAAATCATGATCCTCCTCAAGTTGGTGGCAATCAATTCAAGTAAGAAATGGTATGCTTTCAACTGGGTAGGTGGCAAGCTTAGGCTGAAGTACTTGTCTGAATACCTACAGTCAATAAAAATAGGATTAAAGAATTCTGTAGCAATTCACTAGTGCAACAGTTGTGCGAAAAAAACTATTCTGATTACTCAGTTGTATTTTGACTTCACTGGTAAAAATTGAGGTTGAAACTAAAATTTGAGAATCACTGACTGATGAAAAGTATGTGGGTCAAAACACAATTTTGGAACAAGTGGAAATACTGCAGGCCACTAAGAAGTTTATGATAATTTAATTTTGCAAATTGACAGAAAATCTGTCACGTTCATAAAGAAAATCACACATACTTACTTCTCTCTAATATTTCTGTAATTCCAGCATTATCTGCTTCAAGTTCCATTTTAAATTTAGCGAGTTCCTGGTCCAATTTTCTCAAATGACGGTCTACCTGTTTTTGAGACAAAGCAACAATAAATAGCATCCAGTTCTGGAATGTGACTATCTACACCCTTAATCTCAGGCTTGCTAAATATTTCCCTTCCACCAATTCTCTGCCACGCAGCACTAAACACATATAAAAACACACAGAAGCATAACTTCTCGGTCACCTACATTTCCCTAACTCAGCAGAGATACTAGAATTAACACCAAAATAACCCTGTTGCTCCTAAGCTGTGCAGTCAATAACAGGATACAATAAGGCTGCATATTGGCTCAGCTGCTAGAAGCCCTCCTCTTACTGTAGGCAATGTTCCAACACACAGCGTTGAGTGTTTCTTTTGAGAAAAAAGAGTAAGAGGACTTGGAGGTGTTGTGGGTATAGGTATAGGAAAGGGAAGAGAAAGAACAGTACATGACATGCACTTCAGGAGAGGTTGGGCTGCATGGGGAAATTGCAAGCTTACTGAATTGCAATTTGTATGCCACTATACACGTCGGTAAACTTAAGTATTGAGTAAAAGGGTCTCTAAACTGAAAATGTAAAGACTCCTGTGCATTTGAGTAAAGTATGACATGCTCTTGTGTATTGAAAATTACCTTAAAAAAATTTAAACTTAGTATCACGGAAAGAAACATCATGTTCCAAATGCTTTCTTCATCTGTAGTCATACAGCAGAATACTGTACATATCTCTAAACTATTAAAAATTGAACAGGTTTTTGCAGTTACCAGCTAACCAAAAGAGAGGACGTAAGTTCTGACTTTTGGAACTAACTTTTGGTTAGCTGAAGTGGAACTAAAGCAGACAAGAAATATTTGTTTTACGTATTTTAGTGCGGTCAGACTTGCAGGTTCTGTTCTCTGAGAAAACGTAAAATACATATACTTAAAATTCAAAATCCACATGCTATAAGGAAGAGTAACTTGCTCATGGTCTCTTTTCAGAAAAAAATAACTAAGACAAAATCAACATGCATGAAAACCTTAAGATCTCTAAAATTATTTCTGTATGTTTTGTATTTAAGTGACACTTACTACCCAAAGCAACAAAATTCTTAAAAGTCAATAAAATATGAAATGTTTCTTTCACCAGCAAAAGTATCTGTATGTAGCTGACATAACAGTACAGGTAGCACAGTTGTAGTGCTTATCAAAATGTTTAGAACTCCTTTGGGCATAAATTCAGGTAATTCACCACAAGCCTTCTGCCTACTTACCAAATCATATATTTGATTAGCCAGTTGCACTTTTTCATCTGCATCTTCCAAAGCCTTATAATAATCCTGTTACAAAGAGATATTTTTTTCAATTATGAACGGAACTGCATTAATTTTAAGCTATTGTTATCCAGCACAAAACGTAAGTTAAAAGGAGAAATTCAAGTCAGTTTTCAGAAACACTGTGAAACTCTACCGTAAACAACAATCAGCTAAATTTTACATGAGAGATGTATTACATATCAATTTATTGTTTGTGCCTTAGAAAAAGCCACACTATAAGATGTGGACACTTCTTCCTACAGTGATATTTAGGTTTCTGCAACAAGTGCTACAAGAAGAGAAACAGTCCTGGATTTCATAGAATCACAGAATACCAGGTTGGAAGGGACCTCAAGGACCATCTGGTCCAACCCTTCTAGCACAATCTAGATGATATGGCCCAGGACCATGTCCAGCTGAGTCTTAAATGTGTTCAGCGTAGCAGAGTCAACCACTTCCCTGGGGAGATTATTCCAATGATTGACTGCTCTCATTGTGAAAAATTTTCCTCTCGTGTCCAATTGGAATCTCCCTGGGAGTAACTTGTACCCGTTACCCCTTGTCCTCACCATGCGACTCCTTGTAAAAAGGGAGTCTCCATCTTCTTTGTAGCTCCCCTTTAAGTACTGGTACATGGCGATGAGATCACCTCTAAGCCTCCTTTTCTCAAGGCTGAACAAACCCAGCTCTCTCAGCCTATTTTCATATGGCAGGCTTCCCAGACCCTTGATCATCTTGGTGGCCCTTCTCTGGATTTACTTGATATTACACAGCGTAAGGTTATGGACTCAAAATGAGATGATGTCTCTTACTTTGTATGGATCTTTAGGACCATTGCAGATATTACTGCCCTTCAAAATGATGCTAAACAGTACTGCGAAGGGAGGCCTTCCCAGCACTGCAGTTAAATAGAGATAATGATGTCTATAGTTTTTAGTTTAAATTACTTTAAAATACATAAGTGTATTTTAAAATAATTTGACTAAAGCAATTCAATTTTAAAATCTGCTCTAACTAATGAAAATCCACAGACAAAACTTTTTTTTTTTAATTATGTTTACACATGTTTTTACTCTAGAATTAAACAGGTTTAAGTGCCTTTTTATTCTCGATTTCCACTGAAGAGTATCTTGCTTAGGCAAAAGCTACCTGAAATTTTGGTCCAACTAAAGTCTAAAGCAAATTTTTCATTTACTCTAGTGAAGTCAGAGCTTTGAATTTTTCTTTTTTTCAATTAAGAAATCTGTTTGCATTTATTAAGGAAAAAAAAACCTTGGCCAAATAAGGGGCTGAGGTAGCAAGTGTAGGAGACTAGAAAGGAGTTTCTCCTGACAAAATGATGGACTACCTTGCTAACAATACCACCACCAATGCCCGAGTGTTGAAGGATAAAACAAAACACATCCATCTTCTTACTCCTCCCTCCCTAAAGCTACATAAACCATACGTATAACATATACAAGGACATAGGCAGAATCACAGGAAATGCTGAAGCTAAGCTTGAAAAATCTCCTCTGGAAGAAAGCCAATTAACTTACGCAGCTTCATGTCACACAAGCAGAAATAAAAGTCTAAGCTAAAAATTTAGTAATTGGTTTCCTCACCATTTCAAGATCATAATTTTTAAAATGCTAGGAAATACGGGGTAAAACTTGAGAGAAACGCTTGATCGAAGAAAACTTTCAGTCATTTGTCTCCTCCTAGGTAGTTCTATCCATCTCTGTGAAAGCCCAAGGGAAGTCACAGTTCTGAATGCTTGAGTCTCCATCAATCATAAGCTATTTTTTCCTAAGGTTATCTTCGTTTGCAAAAGAAAAATGTGACCCACTCCTCTGATATCCTTACTTTTTTGATTGATGTCATTTGTTCTTCTCTCCATTCAGGTTTGTTTTTCTTTGCGTTCATAAAAAATTCATTTACCCTCTGCTCAAGCTGATCCATTGCATCTGTAGCACAAGAAAAGATTAAGATAAATGTTATCTTCTCATGTATATAAACTTTATGAAATAAGGCGGATTTTTTTTCTTAAACAAAGTTGACAGGACTGAGGTGCAAACTATGAAAGAGGAAAAAAACAAAAAAACCGAAACAACCAAGTGACAGTGGACAGAGGAGGGAAATATTTACCTTAATTTCCAAGAAGCAGAATTGTATTCTGGTAGGATTCTCATCAAGGTTCTTGTGCTCTCCAGCATGGGACTGGCAGGACTCCAAGTTCTAAAGGTTTTTTGTCCCTAAGAGCAGTGGTAGTGACTTAAAGCACGACCCAAACTCCTCACCCAGGGCTCTAGACTGCTGACTTTGGAACATTCTAGCCAGTTACAAACTGAGCAGGAAACAAAATGTTCTCCTAAGAGAAACAGTCAAATACAAAACCAAATAATTGAAAAAATTAGTGCCTCACAAAGGTAGAGCAACTGAAGAGTCATGTCACCGCCTCCAAGTCAAGGCCCTCTCCATTGTATGCTGGGAAGGGTGAGAGCAAGTTGAAAGCACTCACAAAGTTATTCCCCCCACCCCCACAGGGTAGCACTAAGAGGTAAATGCACTGATAAAATACTACTTGGACAGGATTCTCACTTACATGAAGTTGAGAAATATTGTAAGGGAAAAAATAAAGCCCCCAATTCTCTAACATTAACTATCATGGGAAAGGAAAATGTCAACTACAATTTATTTGTTTCGTTGTTTACTGAGATAGGAACAGGGATTCCCTTCCCTTTCCCTCCACCCTCCTTCAAAAAAAAAAAAAGCACCGAGTTTACTATTTCAACAGCTGGACACTTGTGCATGCAACAGCTTGCACATTTCCAAAAACATGCAGCTGCCTCAGTCAAACTAGCTTTGATAGCCTTGCTAGTCTCAGGACAGATGACAGCACTGAAATTTTTTTCACAGCACTCTCAGCGATACTGTCCAGATAGCAGTTTTAAATTAAATGTGACAATGCACCAACTACCTACAGACTTCAGGTTCTGGGTGTAAAACACTTAAGATACTTTCCAGAAACTGCCATTAAATGGTGGTTTAATGATGAGATGGCCATCATCTCTTACCAAAAAAAAAAAAAAAAAGTGAATTAACTAGTTCAAGGAACTCATGAATCCCCAAGTATGATTAACTCTTCAAATCCAATGGAGCCCAAAGGTTTTCTCACTCTGTGAAAATTCACAACTAGAACTAACTGTTCACATAAATAACCAAAAATCATTCGTACTAAATGACCAAAAACATTCATCGATTTTCCCTATGCTAGGAACGTCCAGCATCAAAACCAAGAGGAACCTAACAACTGACCCAACAGAGCACAATTAATTCCAAGCCAGAACAGCTGTGATACAGGCTCACATCAACGTTATTTAGACCCAGACAAACAAAGTAGTTAAACAGGTTTGGTGTAAAACAGGGTAAAGATGGGAGAATCTGTACAATGAGCATTTTCCACTTGCACTGTGTTATTCAGGGAGAGGATTAAGAAGCCGGAGCAGCAAGCAAGCAGCACACACTTTATGTGGAGGCTTCTAAAAGCTTTGTTCTTTGACCAAATGACTATAATTTGGTCCATAAAGCCAACAGACAAAATGTTCTATCTCCCATTCCCAGAGTGCAAACAGCTAGGTGATAACTATTCTAACGGCTCCATAGACGTGAAAAGAAAAAAAAAGAATCTTCCCTCTTTACTTTTTATTGAGGACACATATCAGTCTGTGTGAAACTCCGCAAGGCAAAACTTCCACAGAAACTTGGTCTGTCCTGAAAGGGCAGAAATGGCAAAGGGGAATGCAGGTCAGATCTACTAAATTATATGAAAAATTCTCTCGGGTATACTCAAGTTCCTTCGCCTTTTCTCCCCTCCCCCCTATTCTGAGATACTAATTTCTTAGATCAGATTTCCCAAGAGAGTTGCTAGAAATTCTATTAGGAGAGGCCTTTTTCCAGAGCTTGACATTTTACCATGGAAGCCTGATAATCCATGATTTGAACTTAAATAGAGAAACACATTTTATGCTCCATGTGGAGCTCAGTTAAAGCTCAAGAGTCAAGCCACAACTCAGATGGTCTTCACTTTTCCCACAGCAGCCTTATCAGGACATACAGTAGGTACGGCTGGTTTATTATTTCTTCCAACAACAAACAGCAGCACCTGCCCCATTAGAAGTCCATGCAGTCCAAATAGGACAGAATACAAAGTCAACATTGACTCTAAAACACAGCAGCACAGTTATCTCTGAATTACAACTCATGTAGGTTTCTGGGACAGCATCACTCAAAGTCCTGTTTTCAAGTACTTCAGAGACACTGAATCTTCACAGCAAGTCACTATGTCACAGCATGAGAACAACCTCCAGGTTTGCATGCAGTATTCAGCAGGCAGCTTGGCAACTGATGTTGAAGAGATGCTAGCCCAGAAGTTTCATGAATGTCTTTGGATGCTTTGTCACTCACTGTTCAAAAATTACAGAAGCACCAAGGTCCAAGAGAATTTTTCTCTGGGCCTAAGGTTGGTCTTGGTCTTAGTATACAACATTCAGTGTTATTTGCTACTTCCAGTAATACAATATGGAGTGCTATTTGCCACTTCCAGTTAAAGCGGAGGAAATGACACTACTGCAACCTTGGCAGTGCTAGTTGGCTCAGTTCTGAAACACACTTCAAAAAAAACTTCTAGCTTCTTTGCCTCCCTACGAAATAGAAGTAAAATTTGTGAACTTACTCAGAACTATGTAAGCTAATGAGCTGCTCACTCTCTCTCCTGGTGCTCCCTAGCAATAGTTACTTCAGAGGTATTATCTCCCATAAGGAGCCATTGCTCTGTTCCCACAACTTTAAGCACTGAACCCAACACTTAGGCCACAGTAGACAAAAAAATCCTATAGCCTGTTCAACATGTGTCAGTAAAATCTGTTAAACAGACCTGCTGGGTCCACTAAAGTAAATATCCAAGGGAAAACCTGAAACCTCGCTGCAAAGTATTATTGGTTAAACTACTGTTTTCAAGAACTATGCTCCCAGATAGTGTTGCATTTTTGTATTCCTGTATGCCATTCACTTGTCCTTTCAACCCTTGCTCTTTCTCTCATTCTTCTTTACAATAGTCTGATCCTTCTGTATTGATGATTCCTCTCATCTTTTGTACAATAACAGTTTCATTAACAAAGACCTTTGCATCACAGTTATAGATGAACATGTTAATTGTGTGCTAAATGACAGCAACACCTAACTGGGTGTTACGGGACACCCAAGTCCCAGATGAGATTGCATTAGAGAAGATGAAAGGCAATGCATCCTGAAAACAGCATAAGGCAGCGTATTATATCAGGATATAAGCAGATATACAAGTGATCTACAAAAAAGCCTAAAGCAGAACGTGTATTTGGTTACGTGCCAGCTACGGCACAAGAGGCTAAGCAAAAAGCACCTTCACATGGGCTCTTATGAGGGGAGCTGGCTGGAAAGTTTCAGAGACAGCCTGCCGCTACCTGCTGCAGGAGTGGGACATAACTCACGTTCCAAACCACCATCACTGCTCTTAGGGATCAAAAATCTAAAGAGTTTGGGACGTGCCACCGAAAATGCCTTTGGGAGCAGCACAAGCCCAGGAGCGAAACCCCTGCAAGACCCCACTTGCGCCGAGACTGAACCGCGGGCGGGGGCCGGGGCGGGCCCGGAGCGGGCGGGCGGCTCGG